ATATAATAACATACTCAGTTGCGTATACTTGTCTAGTAATATATTGTGTATTATTAATTTTATTGTGTCATCTTTGTCTTACATAATGTGCAGGCTATAGAACTGTCAGTTAGTTATTGTGTTTATTAACCAGATATCAAATCAGTTAATACGTCATACACAAATTAATTATTATCATTTTAATTTTATAGATTAATCTACCAGACAATGTCACTGGCAGATACTATCATTCTCTCTCAGGGTGGAGTGTGACCCCAACTACTAACTGGATAATTGAGTTTGGAGGAAACACATTATACAGTGATACAGCAGTTATTGAACTCAGTAAGCACATGTATACAGTAGTAGATACAATGTGTATTGAATATGCAATGATAATTATTAATTAGTAATGATAATATTACAATAAATTAAGTAATTCTTATGATGAATATTTAATGAGAGCATTTGACGTATACCTATGATACTAATTATTACCAATTCATTCCTGCTATGTACAATAGTGAAATATAATGACTGCAGATACAGAAACACTGATATTAATAGGAGCTAGAGTGAATGAAATATTATTATCAGTGTATTTATATACAATAATATGTTCATGTGGTTAACTGTGCAAACTGACAGAGGTCACACATACAATGATTAAACATGAATCCATCAATAATAAGGTTACCATAGTAACCAACTGTAATTTTAATGTGCACCATATAGCGCTTTAATTTTGTGGAGCTAAAATTTCGCGGATGGATAAAAATTAATTTTTTGCTAAAATAACTTTTGCAGATTTGAAATGCTAGTGCCACGGATTCAATGATTTAGTGGATCTTCAATTTTGTGGTTGCATGCTAACCCGCAAAAGTTTTGCTCAATTACAAAAGTTTTGTAATCAATTTGTGCATTTCTTATTCTCCACTATTTTGTTACTGTATAGGATATACTAGTGATGATGATTGGTCTACTAGTGTAATACCTCTGGACCAGTATCAAGATCAACTGAGAAGAAGGATACTGAGTGATTGGGAGAGTTTAGGAGCAGAAAAACAGCTTCAAATATTTCAAGATCGTCTGCAATTGCAAAGTGAGAAAGAATTTTATCAGGAACAGCTTCAAAGAGAAGTATAAGAGAAGGAGCAGATACAGCAAGATCGAGACAAAGAACAGCAACAGCTTCTTCAAGAAAAGGCAACACTTACTCAGCAACTTGATGATGCTACCACTCTCCTTGAGCAAGCAGAAAAGGATAAATCATGTCTTGAATTAGGTATGATTGTGCTGTACTCTTGTTTATGTGTACATTGTTTACATTATAATACTAGTGGATTAGACAATGTTGAGTATGGGAATATTATCCTGTACTCAATATAGGTCAAATTGTTCACGCATTAGAAATAATGAAATTCATGTAGAGTGAGGGTATCATTAGCAATAATCATAGTACTTGTATTTATGGGCTACTGTACATGCAATGCAAATTAGTTTAAGGAGCAAAATTCATTTTATTTTTCATTTTTGTATTTTTATTGATAATAGAAGATTATGAGAAGCTTAAAGCTAAAGTTGCCGATAAAGAATTATTGATAACTGAAATATTGGAAGAGAAGACACAAGTAGAGGAGAAAAAACAGATTATTACTGGTTTGTGTATCATCAGTACATAATATTAAATGAAATAATATTCTATTAATGTAGAAGATTACGAGAAACTTAAAGTCAAAGTAGCTGATCTATTGGAGGAAAAGGGGGAACAATACCTCAAGGAGAAACAAATTATTACTGGTTAGTGTTTATTACTGGTTAGTGTATCAACTGCAATCAATAATTATTATTTATATTCTATTAATTTATAGACCTTAAAGAAAAGGAGTTGTACATAGCCAAACTAGTGAAGGAAAGACAAGAGAGGGTCCTCAAGCAACCTATCAAAGAGACTAGTTCCATTGGACTACAATTTAATTACTTGATCCCTTCAATGGGTAAATTATTCATGTACATGTACATGTACACATGTGAATGATTGTGTGTATACTATCAAGAGTACTGGTATTAGATATGATGTGTCTGTATTGTTTCAGATTCACTAGACTCTAGTGTCATTATAGCTGGACAGAAGCTCTTTATCCTACAAGGAGACAGGTCTCACTCACTCCAGT